AGAGCAGCAGCATCTGATGATTCCTGCAATCATGACATGCTCTACCTCTGTGCTGCTCAGTACATGTACTTGAAATGAGACCGGTGTGATCGAGAAATTCAAATTTTAATTTCATCTTGTAAATTTTCATATCCACATGGGGTGGGTGGCCGCTGTACTAGACAATGCAGCCAGGCACAGAGCAGACAAAGAGTGGGGTCTGCAAGGAAGAAGGGGAAGGGGGCTTAGGGCTTCCTTCGCCCTGAAATAGCCACGTGAGGCTATTTTGGCAGTTAGGGCCTCAATGCGCTTCCCTGGTCCAAAACCAGCGTGACAGTGCTGTTAGCACTGTAATGTAACGCGTTTCTGTTTTTCAAAGTGATGGAAGAATTATTGCTTGTTTAGGGGGCTTGGAATCTTTCAATGGCAGAAACCACTTAGTAATTTCATCTCTCAATATACATTTGCAGGAAATAAAACACAGCGACCAAGATGTCTTATCGAAGGTTGGGCAAAACTGAGTATTCTGATGAAAAAGTTATTGCATATATTAAAACCGGCCACAGATTTTCAAAGGAATATATGAAAATAAGATTAATGCTAAAACCAAGCAAATGCCACTCAGTCCTTGTGCTCTGGACCTCCAGTGACTGTCAGTGCCTGAGGGTTATAGTGAGCAGCTAAGCGGACAGCAAAACTTAGCAGCTGCTGTTATTTTCTTTTATTTTTTTTTTGGTACTGGGGATCGAACTTGGGACCTTGTGCTTGCGAGCAGGTGGCAGAACCACTAAATCCCCGGACTGTGCAGCTTCTATTTTGAGTAAATTCATCATATTGACTTTTAAACTTGTCATTAGTGGCCTTATCATAAAAGATACAAGAGAGTATATAACATGCCAGCTATTTAAGATTTCTTGTTTAAATCAAAGATAAAGGAGTGTTTCCCTTAATAATGACCTGTAATATATGCAGTTTATTACTACAATCTCCATTACTAGGCCTAGCTATCTGACAGTGGGTTTGTGGAAATCCAAATGCTTTCTTTCTTTCTTTTGGTACCAGGGATTGAACTCAGGACCTTGCGCTTATGAGGCAGGTGATGGCACCACTGAGCTAAATCCTTGGCTCCAATTGCTTTCTTTCATTTCTGTCATTTCTTCCTATGTAAGGTGACATAAGATATGTACTTTTTGGCCGTGTGTTTGTACATCTAACCAAGTGGCATTCGCCAGTTGTCTTCAGTGGAGTTTAGGAAAGAATAGGTTTCACTTCATCATATATCTCCTGACACATTTTGTATCCCTGAAAATGAAAATCTCAATGCAAAATCAGCCGACACTCCCACAACAGTCTAGCACTAAAGGCATCTTTTTGGCCAAGGTGATGGGTGCTCTCACACACAGCATTTTAAGTTCTCTGTGGTGAAGGACCTTTTTTTCCCTAGTTTACAATGCATTATGAATCAATCATTTTGTAAAATACAATCATAATTACAAACAAAAAGAATCATACAAAGTACAGGGGCTGATGGTTACTGTTATATGCAATAGCTATAAAATTACTGCATCAGATTGCTATAAATGATTCTCTGCTCACTTTCAGATTCTGTCCTGTCTGAATTGGTGACATTCTGAAGCCTGGCAGTGGCCTGAGGACTGGACTTTGAGTAGCATTGTCCTCACAGACTGCCTCTGTCACTAAATCTCCTGGCTGAACTTTCTGGAGGAAGACAGCTAACTACCTGTGTTAGAGAGTTTAGATAATCTCATATTTGCAGGAAGCAAGACCAGGTGATTTTTGAAGGTCATCCCAGTTTGCTGATTCCTGACCTGGGTCACTTGGCCCATGCCTGCTCATGGTTTCTGTTCATCTGCACAGAAAGCAAGGCCCTGGGCTCACCATGTGCCCATGCATCTTGAGCTGTTTACTCAACATGGTTCTCTGGAGCTGCCAATGTTTGATGTTCAGAAATAACTTCCTCCTAATGTTTAGCCTCAGTGGAATGTAGGAGAAAACATTTGTATAAAGTAGGTGAGGTCTTATTAGAGATGTCCTATTAGGCTCTTTTCCCTGTGAAGAAGACTTTCATTTTCTAAACTACATTCCTGGATTTTTAAATTGTAAAGACCTCTCTAATTATCACTGTGATAGCCCATGACTTGGGTAAATAAATGCTGACCACACAATTTTTTTTTGTTTGTTTTTTGTTTCTTGTTTTTTTGAGTCAGGGTCTCACTATGTAGTTGAGACTGACCTGGAACTCAGTATGTAGCCCAGGCTGGTCTTGAATTCACAACGATCCTCCTGCCTCAGCCTCGTGAGTGCTGGGATTACAGGCATGCGCCACCATGCCTGGCTCTTGACCACACAATTCTTAACCTTTGTATTTCAAGTTTTAGCAGACATGTGTTATTATATAAATATTGATGTAACCCTTGCTTAATATATTTTGGTAACAATATCTTGACAAAGAACTCTCCCTAATTCAATGTAAATGTTTTTGCCCAGGCCATCAAACAATCTTATCTCATCAGAACTCCATTTCTCGTTTCTTCCAGGGCAGTAGTAGGAGGTAACTGAATGTTGTTAGGAAAACCATAGGGGATTTTCTACCACTTTTCTTTTTGTTCCACCTGTTCATTTTTTTCTCCATTAACTTTATTGGTACATTTAAAGCAAACAATACAGTTACATTTATCATTGAGATCCTGTACCTTTACGTGATATCACCTGTTCATTTGTATCTTGATTAATTTCATGATTCTGATTTCTACTTGGAAGCTGTCATCTTTAAAAACTGCTATAGAGCAAGTTTGGCTGATTTGCTTAATAAAAATGTACTTCACATGGAAGGTACCATGATTAATGGATAGATATCATAAAAATATTTTTTTTCTTTTTAAAAGGTTTAAAAATATTATGCAAATTGCTTAAGCTTTAAATAAGTTCCTGCCTGAAGATGGTAGGGTGCCTAAGCAAGGTTGCCCTGGATAGGTTTTACCTGGTAATATTTTTTATCCTTTACTGTGCAGATACCCAGACTAACTTCTGAGGTGGGGGCAAACATTAAACGACAAAATGAGGGACACAGCAGAGAGGCAGAATTTTCAGAATTGTTCAGGTGATAACATAAATCATCACACACAGAGGAGAACAGGGCAGCAGCTTTCTTCGGTCACCTCCCAAGTGGAGCCCATCCCGGAATACAGATCCCTGCCTTTCCTCTCACGTCTACTCATACGGTTTCATGATCCATTTTTCAAGTTCAGTTCCATAATTCAAATACTTCCACTGCGTTTCTCCCTTTGCCGCAAATTCAACAGACCTAAAATAAAACCAATTACCAAATCTTACAGTTGGACGGGATCCCAGGGGACATTTAATCCTGACTTTAATGGCTCCATGAATAGCTCCTATAACTTCCAAAAGGAAAGGGATTGCTAATCTCTTTTTTTCTCCACCTTCAGGGAACCCCCCTCTCCCCAGACAGTCAGGTTGGGCCCTTAAATACTAGTTCTTTGCCCAGATTTCCCCAGCCAGGAAATTATATCATCCAGTTTCTAAGTTCTTTCTCAGCATCATCTGATCACTCTCCAGACCCTCACATCTAATCAAGTACGGGATGGGTCAGGCTTAAAATTTTTCAGTAGCTCTCTCAATAGCCCCATAATTCCTAGAATATAATCGCCAGTTTATTATATTAATATTTTAAATCCAGAACTCAACTTTGCCAATTGATTTCTTTAAATCTTGTGTTTCATATGGTATTTTTGATCAAATATCCAGAAATAGTCATAAACTAGAAATAAAGTTACGGTTCATGAACAGATGAAGTGATAATTATTGTGTAGTTTATACATCACTTACAGACGCCTGTGGAGAGAAAAGTGCTGTATATAATGGGGAATGACATTTCAGAGAAATTTTGGTAGACTCTATATGGTTCAAGGACAGGGCTCAATTAAGTTCCTCATGTTTTTCTTATCCTCTATGGTGCAGACCTAGTCTAGCTTTCCCTACATAAAACAACACATAATATTCCTTTCTTACTACAGTAGTAGTACCAGTACCTTCAAAAGGCATGAAAGATGCAAAATGAAAACGGACAATTTCATATTTCGGCGGGATGGACAGAACTAGGATCAGTGAATGTTACACATTTTTCTACACACTTGACAAAAGAAATATGCCAAAACATGGGTTATGTGCAGTTCATAATGGTCCCGGTTCCCTTCTGATCTAAGATATGGCATTAGAAGAAAATGACCTGGTGATGAGTATAGCACCACTCAGAAGAGTAACTTTCCGAAAGCTGTGTTGCTGCAGCGAATCTTCCTGAACAGGAATGACTCATTCTGCTGTTTAGAAGTCAGACACGGAAACCTCCTAAGCGGGCTAATTCCCCTCACTTTGCACTCTCCAGTTCTGAATGCGTTCACACCCAGGGAGTGCAGCATTAAACTATTTGAGGACTGCTACTTCCCAGAGGATTCAACTAGGCAGAAACCAATGTAAAGGACAAGGAAGATTATTCTCTTATTCGGATCTTTTAAAACATGATCATTCAAAAGAAATGAAAACAAGTACTCGAACAGGTATAGGTAGGTACATGCATGTTTATAGCAGCCGTGTTTCGCACCAGCCAAAAGCGGGAACAGCCCAAGCACCCATCAGTCTATTCAAGGATGGATAAACCATTTGTGGTAAGTATATAAAAAGGATTCAATAACTGACACATGCTGCAGTGTGGATGAACCTCAAAAACAATACATTAAGTTAAAGGAGCCAGATACAATAGATCATGTGATATGTATTCTATTTACTGTAATGTAAATAGTTAATTCTATATGCACAGAAATGCAGACTGGTGGTTGCGAGGGGGCAAGGGCTTGAGGGGAGGAGGATATAGGAAGAAACTGCTTAAAGAGTAAGGTTTTATTTTGGAATGATGGTAATTGGAACTGTTCATTTTATAATGGCTGAGAAAAACAATGAACTTGTCCTAAAATCAGAGTACTTACCTTGCATACCATGGATGTCTTTGCTCCAAGCCTGGCAGCCTGGACACACTGGTTGGCACCTTTCCCTCCAAAGCCAATAAAAAATTTATGTCCATGGATGGTTTCTCCAGTTTTTGGCAAGCGAGAAGTAAGACTATTATAATTTAAAAACAGAAAAAAGAAAAAGCACATTGGTAACTGCAAGTGATTTAAGTTCTCTAGAAGGGAAAGGTTATCTGATGGAGTGAGCTTTATATAGTCTTAACAGTTTTTCAGTCCAACAAGTAGTGAAGATTGCCTTTCCTTTACTTAGGTAACATTCAGGAGCTTGTTTCACTATGGAGAATGTACCTCCTTGATAAAATTCTCTCTCCTATAGCCCAGGGCTATAATTCTACTTTAGATGATAATTCTTGGTGTCTGTACTGAATCACGGACATTTATGGGGACCTCAGTTTCATACTCCTGTTTGCAATGCTTAGCGTAGTTTCATTCACAGTGGGATGTGGTACTTGGTATGAGGTCAGTGTGTTTTTGTACAGGTTCATCTGGACACTTTAACAGGAAGCAGGTGATATGCCAGGATCCTACAGCTCATGTATATGATGTTAGGAAAGAGAAGCTGCAACTCCAGGTAGTAAAGGATCTTATCTGATTTGAGGTGGGGTAATGCAAGGGGAAGATCAGGTTTTGGCCCAAGTCTACACCGCATTTCACGTACTAACTCAAAGAGAACATATTTAAAACAATGGATCTTTAATTTTTACTATGAAAGCTTCAAACATATAAAAGTAAAGCAAGCAGCACACTGACTTCCTTACCCCTATTCACCTATCACCAAGACTCGACAATTATCAACTCACAGCCAATCTTGCTTCAGTCTAAACTTTCACTGACTTCTCCAAAAGCTTAAGTACTTTTATCATAATGCTATTGCCTGATGATGGTAGTATTAAATGAGGCAAAAAGAATAAAAGGTTTGTTCCAAGGTAAGATTTTCATAACTGTGAAGACAAAAGATGAGTGGGAACAAAAATCTTTGAAAGATGGAAAGAAATGGCTGACTCTAAAGTGGGAGAGTTGTTCAGGGAATGGGGGCAAATGAAGATGGGGTAAAGCGGCCTGAGAACTCTCTGCTTGGCCACAGTGGGCCAAAGGCAGAAGGAGCAGGCGGAGAGCAGTCACGTGTGGCCAAAAAGGTTGATTAGCTTTCGATGGGAAAGGCCAAGAGGTAAGTTTGCAGTGGCAAGCAGTCCGAGAATTTATGCTGCTTTAGCAGATTATAAATTTATAGGTTATGGTATAGCGGAAATCAACATCATAATATATATTCCTAGAGTAACAGAACAATGCCAATTCCCACAGGTCACTAACAGCTTATTTGCAGGGGGTGAAAGATTAAACTCAACCCATGAACCTCCTTTCTGTGGTTCTAAAAGTGTTAATAAATTGGGCTAAAACTACTCTGTTCCCAAGCAGCACACCGTCAAATATGGTTGAGATTCAAAGGAGGTTCATCAATAATTTGAAAACATCCCACTCCTCCTCTTTTCAATTCTATTTTTATCTTGGATTCTAAATGCATTTATAGTACTGATGAAGAAAATATACATCTAGAAGGTTCACTTCTGAAAAAGGTACTCAATCAAGAGGAAAATGGTTTTAATGTAATGTTATTATCCTGTCATTTAATTTAGCAATGACAAGTGATGATGAGATTTTGATTTGCATCAGAAATCTTAAACATTTTAGGACTCTGTTATGAACAGGCAATGATGAGTAATCTGTGTGATTGAGTATGTGAATTCTTGGCTTATTGATGCTGTGACAAACAACACTCGCAACAACCTTAAAAGGAAAAAAAATATCCAATGTGGCTAAAAACAGGTCGAATAACTTAATTAGTTAGACTTAATTAGTGAGACTGTCACTAAGGAAATTTATGTCTCACTGTATTTATACTTCAATCTGGGTCAAATTCACTGGTTCAAATCAATTGTCTTTTTTCTCAGCTGTGGGAAATCATGAGAAATTATATGACCAGATTATTACCGGGATGAATATTTGTAAGGGAGGGTGGAATCAGGGGTACAGTGTATGTGTGCTGGATGTGGGAGCAGATGGCTAGGATTTAAACTCATTTCTAAATACGTAAATGATATTAACACAAGCACTCCATTAATTCAGCATTCACTGAAATTCATCATTCCTTTGGTATTTTACTATTTTATTTCCTCTTTCTTCTGCATCATTTCTCTGCTCCTGCCTCTTTCTTCTTCCAACTGTAGATTTTCCTTATGTGAGGACAGGGACCAAATCTCCTATGTCCTCCATTTTACCCAAAGTGCCTGCCACTTAGCATGAGGTTAACAGATACTTGCTGGTGGAATGAGTCATTTGAAGTCTCCCTTTGTCTCTTTTCTCTGTCTCCCTGTATAACACCCATTTTTGCTTCTGAACGGAGGATGTCCAGCCATTGATTAGGGGCAGGAGGAGGAAACTAGCGGGGTTGACTGTATAATTTCCTGGTGATAACAATTCCAGATTTTACCAAATTTTGCCTACTTTGTTCCCAGTTGTAGCAACATTCCTCTTTCCCTGGCAAGAATTTTAACTACAGATCATATCATTATTCCTTCATGTTGATTCAGTGTTTCTCAATGAATATTCTACAGGCAAAATCAAATTACTGACAATAGGATAAAATCCAAGACTGATGCAAGTAACAGAAGAGCAAAAAGAACATGTTACAGAACACAGAGCTTGTTAAGATCTGATTCGTGTCTTTTTAAAAAGGAAAAAGATATATGTGCACTCATGCATTGCTTAATGACAGGAAAATGTTCCACGAAATGCATCATTGAGTGATTTTGTTGTTTTTGGAACTTCACTTATACAAACTAACTCTAGTATATGTGCTGCCGAAGCGAGCACCACCTATACAAACTAAGATGGCAATATGATCCTATGGGACCACTGTTGGTACGTGCTGTCGGTCCTTGGCTGACAGGATGTTGTTACACATCGAATGGCTGTGTATGTTCTCATATAGTATGTAAATGCACAGAAAGTGAATGCGGATGGCAAATATCCACCGAAAAGGTGGGGCCCAAAATTTCATGTTTTACTTTATATACTTATGCACATAAATGTATATAGCAAGAATATATTAGTGTACACTGCCGTTACTACTTTAGATTAATTCACCCTTGCTACCTTATTTCCTATGTACCTGTTTTTCATGGGCACCAACTGGTTTCTTGCAGGTGCAACAACTTAATGGATCCTTGCCCCGTGCTGTGTTCTCCCTACTACAGGACTTCTCTGTTTCCATGCTGTGGCTCTTCAGGCTGTCCTGAAGGACTGAACGACCAGTTGCATGGAGGAATGGCCAACCCAAGAATATCAAGAGACTTTAAATATGGGGTCTTTTTCCCTTCTTTAATTTCTCTGCCAATAGCTCTTGCTTCCTCCGGTACAGGGCTGAATAGAGTGTGTGCACTTAAGTCTTTGTCTTACATCCTGCTTCTGTTTAAACAGATTAAAGGAGCTGGGCATCGTGGCCCATGTCTATAATCCCAGTACTTGGGAGGCTCAGGCAGAAGGATTGCCATGAGTTGAGGCCAATCTGGGCTTCCTGGTGAGTTCAAGGCCAACCTGAACTACACAGCAAGACCCCCATCTCAAAAGCAAACAAAACAAAGCAAAAATCAAAACACTAAGTTTACTGCATGTTTACTTTTTTAAAAAAGTAAATTTAAAGCAGAGAATGGAGAAGAGAGCAGCTAATTACAAACAGGCAGAAGCACTTTTGAATTCTAAATCCCAATTTACTTTGAATTAGGCTTTCCTAGCATTTTTTCTTATTGAAACCAGAGTACATTCAAGTTTAGGAAAGGACCTGCCCAAAGCACTGCCCACTGGATATAAGCATTCTATTATTTGCCCTAATTCAAACATGAGATTTAGCAGGGTACTGAAGACAGACAGGTTAAATGGGCAAAGGGAGAGAAAAATAGAAAAGGAATATTCAAAAAAACAAAACAAAACACTGTCGCTACCATTTAAAAAGTTAAAATAGGCTGGGTGAAGTGGTGCACATCAATAATGCCAGCACTTGGTTGAAGCAGGACGGTTATAAGTTCAAGTCCTGCCTGGGTAGTGAAGTGAGAGCCTGTCTCCAAAGAAAAATGTAGCTTAGTGTGAAGGCCCTGGGTTCAACCTTCAATTCAAAAAAGTTAAACTAGAATAAATCTCTGAATGAAGGTAAACCTCAGACAAGCAAAATGGTGCTTAACACATATATCTGAATGGAAGACAAATTCATAGCTTTAAAAAAATACTGTATTTTTGAGCTGGACAGAAAGGAACAGTGATACTTGTTCAAAGATGACCCTGTAGTCTTCCTTGCCATGAAAAGCCACATGGCTATAGCCTGTGGTTTGAGGCAGGAGGCCTGAGCCATTTACTAATTATGTTACCTTGACAGCTTTTCCCTCTTTGAACCAGCTTCTTTTCTTGCAAAAACAGTTTAATAATACTTGTCAACGCCTGAAATGGCTGGGTTTTGTGCTCTGAGTTAATTCACTGACAGGTGTTACCAGAACAACTTATCAATTGCTTTTAACTTCTTGACAATGAGGTGGTTGTTACAGACTCTTGGAAATTATTCCAACCAAAGAAAGGAATGACCTGGTGACAAGGGGATGAGAAGTCTTTCAATTTAACATTGACATTAATACTGACTTCAGCCAAAAGCCAAGGAATATATTGCTTTTTGGCTTTTGCATCCACTTTTTCTTCTTCTGGTTACAAGCGTCTAACATACCATCAGCATCTGTAACAGGAGGTTGTACATTAGTTTATACCCAATTAAAGTTCATTACACTAATTTATTATTCCTACTCCTTGTACTTTTCAACCATATCTGTTCTTCTCAGCATTTGCGTATGTCACCTTTAAAAGGCTGAGAGTAATTTCAAAATCAAGTTGTCACTTGCAACAATAGGGATGAACTTAGAGGGCATTACGTTAAGTGAAATAAGCTAGGCTCAGAGAGAGATCGATGCCATCTAATCTCGTTTATCTGTGGAATCTCAAAAAATTGAACTCATAGAAGTAGAGTAAATGCTGGTTTCCAGAGGCTGGAGGGAA